CTCTGATCCTTCCCCCACGTGGTCTCACCCAAGATGGCGGCTCCTGGAGCAGTCGAGCGTCCCGGACTAGAAAGCAATAGATTTCTTGCTTCTGCCACAGATTCCCCCAGCTGTGAGCCTTCCAACCTTCTAAGTATTCCTTTATATGTGGTTCAGAGTTCTGGGACCAGCCCGTGAGCCTGCTTGGTCAGAAATTCTGTGTTGTTGTTGGCGGAGCTCTCTGCTATATGTCCACCCGATCCGCCATCTTTACCTTCATCTCTCTACAGTTCTTTCAGCTTGAGAAATGATGAGTGTGTTCTTCTCTCTTGGTTTTCTAACTCCAGGTCTTTACACATTTCATTATAATACTTGACCTTATCTTTTCAAACTGCCCTTTGAAGTGTTCTGTTCAGCTCTTTTATCTACTCATTTCTTCCTTTATTTTAACATTTCTACACTGGAGAACAAGTTTCAGAGCCTCTTCTAACATCCATTTTGATCTTTTCCTTCTTCCTTGTCATCTTAATGACTTTTCGCTTTATTCTTTTATGATGTTCTTGATGTCATCCCAGAACTCTTTTGATCTTTGGTTGTAATTGTCGAATGCATCAAATCTGTTGTTAAGATGATCTTTAAATTCAGGTGAGATATGTTCAAGGTCATAATTTGGCTCTCATGGACTTGTTTTCATTTTCTGCAGTCTGAACTTCCATGTGAGCAGTTGATGGTCTGTTCCAGAGTCTGCCCCTGGCCTTGTTTTGACTGGTGATACAGAGTTTTTCCATTATCTCTTTCCACAGATTTAGTCAGTTTAATTTCTGTGTATTCCATCTGGTCAGGTCCATGTGTATAGTTGTCTTTTATGTTTTTTAAAAAAGGTATTTACAATGAATGAATCATTAGTCTTACAAATTTCTATCATGCAATCTTCTGCATCATTTTTATCACCGTGGTCATTATTTTCCAACTACCGATCCTTCCAGTTTCCAACTTTTGCATTCCCATCACCAGTATTGATTGGAATTATCAATACAACTTGATTGCATGTCTGATCAATTTCAGACTGAAGAAGTTGTTAGAATTCTTCAATTACATCATCACTGGTTTTAGTTAATTAAATTTGAATAAAAGTGATATTAACTGGTCTTCCTTGTATGCATATGGGTATTATCCTGTCACAGCATTATGTTTCAAGATAGATCTGGAAATAATGATGAATGTGATGTCATTCCTTTTAATTTGTCGTTTCTGGCATTGTCAGCCATATGATTGTGAGATTCAAAATAGCTGATAACTGTATACCATTTAGTTTTTGACAACTTCCAATTTCTCTTGACTCATACTTCATACAGTCTCTGGTACTGTAGTGGTTACAAATCAGGCTGAGAACCGCAGGGTCAGCAGTTCGAAACTGCCAGCTGTTCTGTGGGAGAAAGATGAGGCTTTCTGTTCTCATAAAGATTTACAGCCTCGGAAACCCTGTACAGGGTCGCTATGAGTCGGAACGGACTCCATGGCACATAACAAGAACAACAGTCCATGCTATGATTATTAATGGAGGTTTGCAGTTGTTTCCTCTCCTTTTGTATTGTGCCCCATTAGCTGTACTCCATTGCTGTCATCGTGGTCAACTCTACTTTGAGGAGGCAGCTCTTCCCAGTAGTATTTTAGTGCCTTCCAATCTGAAGGGCTTATCTTCTAGCACTATATCTAGCAATATTCTGCTACTATTTGTAATATTTCAATATTCAATATTCTGGGGTTATCTGACAGTGTTCCACTGGTATTCGTAGGTTTTCAGTCCCTAAATATTCAGAAGTGGTCTGTCTCTCCTTTTTCTAGTTTATTTTAGTTTGGAAGCTCGGCTGAAATCTGTCCACTGTGAATGACCCTACTGGCATTAAAAATATCGGTAGCATAGCTTCCAGCATCACAGCAACATGCAAGCCATCACATTAAGACAAACTGTCAGACTAGTGGTGGTCCCAATCAGTAGATCCTTGTTACGCACTTTTTCATCATTAACTAGCCCAAACTTTGTCTCCTGGTGACAATTTGACAGTGTTCTACAATAGAGTAAATAATCTCCTCATGTCTATGTAGTGAATAATAACTGCAACAGAGTAAGAACTCTTAAGAAAGTCTGTAATAGCTATAAATATATGAGTAGCTTCCTTGGTAACAACCTTTGTGTTACAAAGAACATCCATTATGGTGACATGCTGCCCTCAAGTGGCTCCTTTAAAAAACAAGACATAACTGACATGAATTGTCCCCATGAACTTCCAGAAATATGTAGATGAAGATCTAGGAGAGAAAGATGGCTCAAATTTTTGTGTTTGCAAGTAGAGTGTGAGGGTACAAATGAATGCCTTTTGAGTTTTTAGTATCGATATGATTTCATTAATATTTATGTTGTTGCTGTTAAGTGCCATTGAGTCAGTTCCAACTCATAGCAACCCTGTATAGGATTTCCAAGGAGCAGCTGGTGGGTTTGAACTGCCAGCCTTGTGGCTCAAACTGACCTTGTAGTCCAGCAAATTATCCTGCAATGCCAGGATGGATTATATAAAGGAATCATTTTTTAACTTTTCGAAGAGTCCCAGTTTAGTCATATAGTACCCTTCAGCATGGATTGCACTTCAATGTAAAGAACATTAAAGTCTTCACAACTGGACCAACAACAATGATAAACAAAGAAAAGATGGAAGTTGTCAGACTTCAGTTTGCTTCTGTCTATAATCAACTTGTATGGAAGCAATCAAGATAGCAGACAACATGTTGGTTTGATTAACTAGCTGCATTAGGCATATCTGCTACACAAGACCTCTTTAAAGTGTTCAAGAGCAAAGATGTCATTTTGAGGACTAAATTGCCCCTGCCCCAAGCTATGTACTTTCAGCTACCTCATATGCATGTGAAAGTTGAGCGGTGAATAAAGAAGACCTTAAAAGAATTGATGCATTTGCATTATGGTGTTGAAGAAGGATATTGAAATTACCAGGACTGCCAGAAAAACAAACAAATCTGTGTTCTAAGACGTACAGCCAGAATGATCCTTAAGGTGTTGAAGAGACTTCATTTCTTGTACTTTGGGCATATTATACAGAGAGGCTTGCTCCTGGAGAAGGACATAGTACTTGATAAAGTGGTGGGCCCTCTAAAAAGAAGAAGACCCCTAACAAGATGGATTGATTTAGTAGCAGCAACAGTTGTCTCAAACTTAACAACAACTGTGAGTATGGTATAAGACCAGGCAATGTTTCGTTTTGTTGTGCACAGGGTTGCTGAGTCAGAGCCGACCTAACAGCAGCAATGACATGGGACTGATTTTCTAATTTTACTTGGTTTGTGCTGTGAAGCTCTTCAGCATGAGATCATCAGGAATTTAACAGTTTATAATCAATCTCTTGTGAGACTGGTTTATAGCAGAAGTTCTCTTTTGATATATTTTTAAGCACCAAGCAGAGATGTTCCCTGACTGCCTGCCTTATACCATACGAATGTATTTATTAGGAACACTACCTGAAAACTTTATGCTCTATTTCTCTCATGTCATTTTACCATCATTCAACTAAACAAATAACTTGACAAACCCTTCAAGGTACTTTTGCTTTGGGGGAGAGCATTGGTTTTTGAATAGTTCTTCATCTGAGCTTGTAGCTTCCTTCTTATATTTCCACCTAGGTAGAGGGCATGAAAAATGGAATCATGTTTTACGTCTCCTCCTTGATTTAGAAACCATTAAGCTCTGATACAAGTAGCCAAGATTATAAAGTAATCCAAACATAGCAGGGTGGGTTTAGAGAGGAGATATTTATTTCAGTAATTAACTGTTAGCAGTAATGTTTTTTAATATGTGAGATATATCACACTTCTCAAGTAGACACTTGGCTATATAATTTCTATTGTAATTGATATTATAGTATCCATGTATGGATAACTTTAGATTGATAGAATCAGAGTTGGTCTTATTTGTAGGCTTTGAAAAGCATTTCCATTTCCTACAGGTCAGAGTGTCTGGGGGATGACTTAGATACCTTAAGAGGTAAAATGATGCTGAGAAGAGTATACTAGGGTCCACAAGAGCCAAATGCTTTTAATTCTTTATAATTTTGCTTAGGCTATCCCTGCCTATTTTGAAGGATAAAGCAATGAGGTATATTCCTCCATTAAGTTAGGCAGTCTTTGTTATAGTTCTTTGACATAGAAACAGTGTAACTCTTTCAGGCTATTTGACTATTCTTCAGAGTGTTAAATATTAAAATGTATTGAACTTTTACCTATGCACCAATACTATGCTACTTGCTTTATATGCACAGTGTACTGTAGAGCTAAAAAGTTAAAAATGTGTCAATCCATATCTAATGGCAAATTATTGTAACTATCCAGATTTCTTTGTATATCTTTTCTAATTTTTTTTATGCTATTATTTCTTATTTCTTTCAAGATTCTTTTATTGAGGAAGAAGAAATAATTTTTGGAAATAATTTGATGACCCATAGCAGTCATCTACCAACTTTTAATACTCTCTTGAGTAGTCCAGAACTGCAAATCTTCACAAAACCTAATTTTTCCAGGTACTTAATTGTTTAATGCTACAAATAATTTTAAGAGGAGAAAATATTCTTTGCAAGCTCACAAGTTTAGTTGTTGTTGATAATTATATTCTTTCATTGCTTTAAGTAGTCCTGGTGTGGCACTGTGGGTTAATACGCCAGACTGTAAAGCCGTTTGAACTGCAAGGTCAACGGTTCAAACTCACCAGTCACTCCTTGGATCACTATGGGGCAAAACTGATTCAACTGCACTTCACAACAACAACAACAACATTCATTGCTTTACCTCAGCTGTAATCATTGTAGTCCTGGTGTGTCACAGTAGAGTAAGCTGGATTGCTAATCATAAGTTCAATGGTTCAAATCCACCAGCTACTCCTTAGAAACCCTATACAGAGTCACAGTGAGTTGGAACTGACTCAACAGCACTTAACAACAACATATATTTTGATTTTGATTGACTACAATTCTGGTTAAGTCTCCAAATTTTTATCAGTGGATGCATTATAAACATTTTGTATATATGTTGTTGTTGTTAAGTGCCGCCGAGTCAGTTCCGACCCATAGCAACCTTCTTGTATAGGGTTTTCACGGAGCATCTGCTGAGCTTGAACCACCAACCTTGCAGTTCAAATGGCTTTGCAATCTGGCACATTAACCCACAATGCCATACCAGGACTCCTTTTGTATATATAGTAATCTAAAAAAATTGAGATAAAGAAAACCACTTCCATTTTCTGTTTTGCCAAAAATTAAATTGCTTTCTGGTTTGAGGTAGCTATAACTGTCAATACTATTTTTTGTTTGTTTTGCAATCTTTGATTTAAGCTGAATATGTAAAATCATATATAGCATCTTAGAATAAAATATCAGGTATTGGTACTAGACTATTACCATATCCTTCACTCACTCAGAGTAACACAGAAATATTGGCTGTAGGAACGGCAAAACCCAGTGTGATAAAGACCTGAGGGGGCTTCAAAAAGTTCATGGAAAAATGGGATTAAAAGATGATGGTATTTTCCCACAAACTTTTGAAGCCCCCTAGTACATGCCATCAGTAGTTTTAAACTAATCCTTTAATTATGGTCACTATGTTTTCAAAGCAAATACTAGGATACAAGGGTCTTTGTCATTTCTAGGTGCTCAAAGCAATCTGTTGTTATTGCTAAATGTTGTCCAGTTAGTTCCAGCTCACAGTGACCCTGTATAGGATTTCCAAGGAGCGGCTGGTGAGTTTGAACCCTGACCTTACTGTTCAAACTGATCTTATGTTCCAGTGCATAATACCAAAACTAATGACATTTGAAAAATAATTTTTCAATGGTTTAGAATTTTTATTAAAATTTTATCTGATAAGTTCCAAATTACAGCGTGCTGTAGGGTAAGCACTGACCCTCACGGTTGGTTTGAACAACAAGGTCAGCAGTTCAAACTCACTAGCCACTCCTTGGAAATCCTACCCAGGGTTGCTGTGAGCCAGAACCGGCTCGACGACACATAACAACAGCAACAATAAAGCAGTCTTGTCTTTGATGATAGACTATGTGCTTTATTTTTTCATTTACTCATTTAATAGATATTTACTAAGCATTTAGTATGTACCTTACTTTTAACAAATACTCATTAAATGTTGTTTTCTTGTTTTTCTTTAAAGGGAATGTTTCTCTTGTCAAGAGAATTTGGAAGGTAATGAGAAAGAAGATCTTTACACAGATAAAGAGAACTTTTGTCAGGAGAAACTGGAAGATACAGTAGGTTAAAATGAAGTTGTAATTCTTCAATAGTTTTCTTATAAATGTAGTGAAGTTTGTTTTTTTAATATACATTGCTGCCTACAGTTGTCAGGTTAAAAGGCATGATAATGAATTAAAAATACATTATAAAGAATTGAAAGTGTTTCAGTTAAAATCAGATTTACTTCTAAGACAATGATTCTCAACTTGGCTACACATTGGAAATACCTGGAAATTTTAATAAATATTGAAGTCAGGTTCCTACCTAGGTGTATTCTGATTTAATTGGTCTGGTATGCAGTGTATGTATAAGGGATTGTAAAACCTCAGATTATTTTAATCTATATAACTGATGGTTGGTGGTGGTTGTGGTTATGTGCCTTGGAGTTGGTTCCGACTCATAGCAATCTGTATAGGATTTCTCTGGTAATGTAGTGGTTACAAATTAGGCTGCTAATCTCAGGGTCAGCAGTTCAAAATTAGCAGCTGTTCCGCAAGAGAAAGATGAGGCTTTCTGCTCCTGTAAAGATTTACAGTCTCAGAAACCCTGTACAGAGTCTCTATGAGTTGAAACCTACTCCACGGCACATAACCACCACTGATTCTTTATGGGAGCAGAAAGCCTCATCATTGTCCCACTGAATAACTGGTAGTTTTGAACTGCTGACCTAGGGGTTAGCAGCCTGACTTGTAACCACTACACTACCAGTAATTAAAAATTAGAAACTGGAGCAAGAAATGTTGATTTTTTAAAGTTATATGCAAAACAAATAGTAATTGAACTGTAAGAGAAGTGGTCTCATTAAGAATACTGATTGTCCAATACTGAATGTTAAGTGCCCTGGTGGTGTAGTGGATTATGAATTGGGCTGCTAACCACAAGGTCAACAGTTTGAATCACTCAGCCGTTCTGTAGGAGAAAGATGAGGCTTTCTGCTCCTGTAAATATTTTGTTGTTGTTAAGTGCCTTTGAGTCAGCTCTGACTCATAACCGACACTTCATAGGGTTTCCGAGAAGAGGCTAGTGAGTTTAAACCCGTCACCCTTTTGGTTCAAACCAACTTTGTGGTTGAGTGCTTATCCTATAGCACCACAGCCTTGGAAACCCTATATAGGGTCACTATGGGTCAGAACCTACTGTACAACAAATAATCACCACCACCAGTAGTTAGTTAATAAAGATAGTATCTTTGCATATTAATAGCCAAACTTCTTAGACAGTGTTCCTTTCCACCACATAGTTAGGTCGCACACAGAATTGTTATTATGATGTCATTGTGCATTACAAGAATTCCAGCAATTGGAAGTGCATCTAATTTTTTTTTTGTAGTTGATAAGCTAAAAAAATCTAGACACATGCAAATTAAATGCAGTCACAAAGTTAGTTTAAAAAAAATTAAAGACAACTTAAAATGTTTTACATTTTGGGCTTTAAAATTTGCAAAGGACACATATTTTAAGAGTTTCGTTACATACATGGTACAAATATCAATTCACATATTAACCTCTTTTCTTCATCCTCTGCACCCTTGAACTCTGAGAGTTAAGTGTAAATTTACAATCTCACATGTTGAGGAATGCAGTTCTGTAAGAGTGAAAGAGAAACCTATTTCATGTGGTACAGTAAAGATTCATTCCATCCCATTGACCTGTCTCTTTGCTTCCCATTCACCATATCTCATCTGCTGCAGTGATTGTTTTTAATTTCAAAAAATTTTAATTTGCTGTTAGTCCAGAAGAAGATATTTGTACATTTAAGTATATTATACATCATCAGTGTAGTAAATGGCAGTAAAGGATATTATTCAGAGAGAACAATACTTACAGTTTTGGTGTGCTTCACTTTTGGTTTTTAACTGTATATAATGTCAACTATCTCATTAAAAGTTTTGACTGTGAGTTTAGTTTAAAATATGGTATGCCATTTAAGCACATGTATCTGTATGTAAATTTTAAAATATTTATTTGTAAAATCTCCCTAGCCTCTTCATTTGACTATTTATTTATTTCAGCCATCAACTTTGTCTATTGGGCGTGAATTATTAATGACTACAAGCCGAAAACAAGAGATTGAAATTCCATCTTTCTCAGAGCTGAAGTCATTAAACTTAATACCAGAAATAATAAGTTATGTAGATGAAAATGAAAAGGTTTTCAAAAAAGGTGAGAATTATTTTAAAAACATGTTACTTGCAGAAACCACTTAGTAATGTTTGTTTTTTTTACACAGGTTCTAGTTCATTTAACATTCTTCTTATCCTCCAGACTATGATAGGCAAAGGAAAAAGAGGGAAGAACTACTTCCGAATATTTAATCACTGAAAACTTTATTAATAGCAGTGGAACACTATCAGATAGCACCAGAATATTGTCAGATATAATACTGGAAAATGCGCCCTACAGGTTGGAAGGCACTCAAAATGCAACTGGGGAATAGGTGCCTCCTTAAAGTAGAGTTGACTGTAATGACACAAATGGAGTAAACCTTTTGGGACCTTCATTTGTTGATGGTTACAATTCAAAACGAGGAGAAAGAGCTGTAAACTTCCATTAATAATTGGGACATGGAAAGTATGATATATGACTCTAGAAAAATTGGAAATTGTCAAAAATGAATTGGAACACGTAAACATCGATATCCAAAGCATTAGTAAGTGTAAATGGACTGGTATTGGCCATTTAGAATCTGACAATCACAAGATTTACTATGCAGTGAATGACAAATTGAGGGGGAATGGCATCACATTCATTATCAATAAGAACATCTCAAGATCCATCTTGAAGTACTATACTGTCTGTGGTAGCATAATATTCATACTCCTACAAGAAAGACCAGTTAATACAACTATTATTAAAATGTATGTACCAACCACTAAAGCCAGAGATGCTGAAATCGAAGAATTCTAACAACTTCTTCAATTTGAAATTAATCAAATATGCAATAAAGATGTATTGATAATTACTGGTGACTGGAATGCAAAGGTTGCAAACAAAGAGGAAGGGTCAATTAATTACTGGAAAATATGGCCTTAGTGATAGAAATGATGCTGGAGATATGATAGAATTTTGCAAGACCAATGTCTTATTCATTGCAAACACCTATTTTAAGCAACATAAAAGACAGCTCTTTTATGTAACTCACTAGATAGAATACACAGAAATAAAACTGACTTCATCTGTGGAAAGAGATAGTGGAAAAGCTCCATATCGTGAGCCAAAACAAGGCCAGGGGTAGACTGTGGAACAGAGCATCAGTTCCTCACATGCAAGTTTAGGTTAAAACAAGCCCATGACTTGTTCATATATGACCTTGAGCATATCTCACTGAATGTAGAGATCATGTCAAGGACAGATTTTATGGATTAGACATTAATGACCAAAGATCAAAAGAGTTGTGTGATAACATCAAGAACATCATACAGAAAGAAAGCCAAAGGTCATTATGAAGACAAGAAAGAAGGAAAAGAACAAAATGGATATCATAAGAGACTCTGAAAATTGCTTTCCAGCATAGAGATGCTAAAGCAAATGACAAAATTGAAGAGATAAAAGATCTGAATAGAACATTTCAAAGGGCAGCTTGAGAAGACAAGGTCAAGTAATATAATGAAATGTGCAAAGATCTGGAGTTAGAAAATCAAAAGGGAAGAATACACTCAGCATTTCTCAAGCTGAGGGAACTGAAGAAAAAATTCAAGCCTTGACTTGAAATATTGAAGGATTCAATGGGCAACATAGTGATTGATGCAGAAACCATCAAAAGTAGGTGGAAGAAATATGCAGAGTCATTGTACCCAAAATAAATGGTCTTTGTTCAGCCATATCAAGAGGTAACATATGATCAAGAGCCAATGATACTGAAGGAAGAAGTTCAAGGTACACTGAAGGCATTGGCAAAAAACAAGACTCCGGGAATTGATGGAATATAAATGAAAATCTTTCAACAAACTGTTACAGACCTAAAGGCACTCATCTATGCCAAGAAATTTGGAAGACAGTTACCTGGCCAATTGGTTGGAAGACAATATTTATACCCATTCCAAAGAGAGGTGACCCAACGTAAAGTAGAAATCATCATACAATATCATTAATATTACATGCAAGTAAAATTTTGCTAAAAATAATTCAAAAACACCTACAGCAGTACATTGACAGGGAGCTGCCAGAGGTTCAGGCTAGATTCACAAACGAATGTGGAACAAGGGATATAATTGCTGATGTGAGAAGGAGCTTGGCTTAAACCAGAGAATACCAAGAAGATGTTTACCTGTGCTCTATTGACTATACAAAGGCTTTTGACTGTGTGGATCATGACAAGCTATAGACAGCGTTGTGAAGAATGAGTATTCCAGAACTCTTGATTGTGCTCATGAAGAAGTTGTTCGAACAAAACGAGGGAACACTTAACGGTGTAAAATTAGGAAAGGTGTGCTCCACTTTGTGTTCTTTCACCATACTTAGTCAATCTGTATCCTGAGAATATAATCTGGGAAGCTAGATTATAGGAACAACATGGCATCAGGACTGGAGGAAGACTCATTAACAACCTGCAATATACAGATGATGCAACCTTGCTTGCTGAAAGTGAAGAGGCCTTAAATGCTTACTGATGAAGATCAAAGACCATAGCCTTCGGTATGGGTTGTACCTCAATGTAAATGAAACAAAAATCCTAGCCACTGGAACAAAAAATAGCATCAAGATAAGTGGAGAAAAGATTGAAGTTGTCAAAGATTTCATTTTTTTTAGATCAACCATTAATACTCAACAAGCAGCACTCAAGAAATCAAAGTATTGCATTAGGCGAATCTGCTCCGTAAGACCTCTTTAAAGTGTTCACCAGTAAAGATATCAGTTCGAGGAATAAGGTGTGCCTGACTCAAGCCATGATATTTTCAATAACCTCATACACATGTGGTGTCCTGGTGCGGCACTGTGGGTTAATGCACCAGACTGCAAAGCTGTTTGAACTGCATCGTCAACGGTTCAAGCTCACCAGCTGTTCCTCGGAAATTGTATATAGGGTCTCCATGGGTCAAAATCGACTCCACGGCACCTAACAACAAAATATGCATGTGAAAGTTGGGCAATGAATAGAGTTCATAGACGAACTGGTGCATTTAAGTCATCGTGTTGGAGGAGAATAGTAAAAGTACCATGGACCACAAAAAGAACAAACAAATCTATGTTGTAAAAAGTACAGCCAGAATGCTCCTTAGAAGCCAGAATGGCCAGACTTTGTCTCTCATATTTTAAACATGTTATCAGAAGGCACCAGTCTCTGGAAAAGGGCATGATGCTTGGTAAAGTGGAGGATCAGCAAAAAAAAAAAAGGAAGACCCCTAGATGGATTGGCACAGTAAAAGCTGTAATTAACTATGTGTAGCAATGATTGTGAGGTTGTCGCAGGACCAAGCAGTATTTTGTTCTGTGTGCATAATGTTACTATGAGTCGATACCAGCTCAGTTGTACATAACAACAACAATTTGACTGAAACTTGGGGGAGTAAGAGAGATTTGCATACAGCAATAGTTACTCACCTGTGCTTGTCAGCATTTTCTTCAGGCACCTAAATATTTGCAATGACCACCATTACTAGTTACTGTAGAATTATTTCCAACTAAAAATGACTCTGTGTGTTTCAGAACTGAGCTCGATATGGTTTCAATAGCTGTGGTAGGTCAAAGGCTTTCTTAGAAATTTAAAAAATCTTTTCATTGTGAATTGAGTCAAGGTTTACAGACAAGATCATCGCCCTTACATTCAACAAATTATACTTTGTTTCATCTCCACGTTTACAATCCCCTCAATGTAACAACAGTTAGCCTGCTTCCTTCCTGTGGTTCCTGTCTGCATTCTACCCACCTTCCCATCCCTTCTCAACTTTGTCCTTAGGAAAATGTTGCCCTTTTGATTTTGAATGATTGGCCATTCCATGGTGAGTATACCTTAATAGTGTTATTGTCTCCCCTGTATACCTATCGTTTGTCTACAAATTGGGCCACAAGGATGAGTTCCTTTTCAGACCAGAAGGGTGGTCAACAGCCATAGTCTCAGGTTCCTCCAGTCTCTTCTGACCAGTAAACCCATTTTTCTTTTTGTTTTTTTCTTTAAGTTTTTATTGTGAATTGAGTGAAAGTTTACAGGGAAGATCATCAGTTTTACATTCAACAAATCATACAACTGGTTTCATCACAATGATTACAATCTCCTTCATGTACCATCAGTTAACAGTATTTCTCTCTATTCACTTTAGCTGTTTATTTATTTCTCTCTATTCACTTTAGCTGTTTATTTTTTTAAAAAATACAAAAAACACTCAAGGCATATAAAATAATTTACACCACCAAAGGGCACATTCTGCAAGTCTGCCTCATGACCACTATCTCTTAGTTCCTTTCTTCCCATGAATCTGGAATCTTCAGCCGCTCCCCCCTCTCCATGTCCCGCCCTCTGCTCGTCTCCTTTGATGGTCCCTGGGGCCTCCACTCCTGGCCTGCAAAGTCAACCACTCTGCTCCTTTTACTACAAAACATCTACTTTTACATTTCCCACCCTCACAGTCTAGCGTAGTGGTTACGAATCGGGCTGCGAACCTTAAGGTCAGCGGTTCGAAACTACCAGCCGCTCCGCGGGAGAAAGATGAGGCTTTCTACTCCCATAAAGATTTATACCCTCGGAAACCCTGTACAGTGTCGCTATGGGTCAGAACCGACTCGACGGCACTTAACAACAACAACAACCCTCACAGTCAGTCCTGATTGTAATTATTCACTGTTATACCACATGAGTGCTATCCCCATCTCCTTTCATCAGTCCCGCCCAAATAGATTGGATACTACTCAGTGGAGATTCTACCTTCCTCCACGCCCTTTGGATCTAGGCTCCCTCTTGAAAGCTTGTAAGCCAGTCACTTCCTGCCTTTGTAGTCCCCCCACCCCCACCCCCAATTTTGGGTAGCCAATGTCCAAGTTGCCCATCCCTGTCTACCATGTGTATCGAAGGGGTGGGAATGATCCTTGCTGTAAAGATTTGTTCCCTCTTTTGAGCTACTGCATCCCTAGTTGTAGGTCAAGTTCATCAAACTGTATCTGATTACACTTTTGTTCCTCTTCTTTCTTCTAGTTGAGCTCTGATCATCCAGCCACTGAAGCCAGGTCAA